TCTTTGTTGAGTCTTTGTGTGGTTTAGGTATCAGGGTGACTGTAGCCTCATAGAATGGGTTTGGCAATGTGCCTTCTGTTTCTATTTTGTGGAATAGTTAAGAAATATTGATATTAGCTCTTCTTTGAAAGCCTGGCAGAATTCTAAGTTAAAAAACCATCTGGCCCTGGCCTTTTCTGGGTTGGGAGATGTAGTGTGTAATTATTAAAAACAATCCATGCTATTGCCAGCTAGGCACCGGCGGTCTTGGTCTGTTCCCAACCTGGTACATAGCCTGAGACTGTGTGTTTCTCCTAGCCAACACCTCTCCCAGGAACACTGGCTCTGCCTCTCCAGAGCTCTGAGATCACTCTTTTGGTCCTCGAGGCTGCTGACAAACCCAAGTTTCCCAAGTTTCTGCAGCTAGCTGGGGGTGCACTCCCAGCCCGAGCTCCACTGTGGTAACTCTCCCCTGGAGCCCAGCTGAGTCACTGCGAATGTAAAACACCAGACAGTCTTAGTTTAGAATCAACAAATGACACAACCGCTGGGCACGGAGTCTATCGTCCTAAACCATCAACTACTCTGTGTTAGACGTCTTCCAGTGGCGGATTCTGCCACCAGATCTTATAGTCTAATAGTCCCCAGCCTGCATTCTGCTTGCCTTCACTCCCACCTTGCTGTCTAAAAGGACCGTTCCTTCCTCCTGCCTTCCCTTTTCCTCTCTCGGACCTGGAAGGTCCACCTCCTCCTCACCCAGCGATTGATTTCTTGTCGTCTTTATTATCCAATCAATTAATTAGGGGAACATTTCGCTACAGGGAGACTTTTAATGACTGCTTCCATTTTAGGGGTTGTAGAACTGTTTAAATAGTTTACCTCACCCATTTTTGTGGAGTATAGGTTTTTTTTTTTATTTTTATCAGAGCTGAGGACTGAACCTAGGGCCTTGTGCTACCATTGAGCTAAATTCCCAGGCGTTTAAAGTAAGACTAATGATTCTTTGAATTTCCTTAGTTTCTGTTGTTATGTCTCTTTTTTCATTTCTGATTTTGTTCATTTGGATACCGTCTCTGTGCCTTTTAGTTAGTTTGGCTAATGGTTTATCTACCTTGTAGATTTTCCTCAAAGAATCAGCTTTTGGTTTTATTGATTCTTTGTCAATACAAATCTCTTTGTTTTAAATTTATTTTTCCTGCCATTTACTCCTTTTGGATGTGTTTGCTTCTTTTTGTTCTAGAGTGTTCAGGTGTGCTTTTAAGTTGCTAGTATGAGATCTCTCCAATTTCTTTATGTAGGCACTTAGAGCAGTGAATTTTCCGTTTTTTTAGATTTATTTATTTATATGAGTACACACTGAAGCTCTCTTCAGACATACATTAGAAGAGGGCAACAAATCACATTACAGATGGTTCTGAGCCACCATGTGGTTGCTGGAAATTGAACTCAGGACCTCTGGAAGAGCAGTCAGTGCTCTTAACCACTGAGCCATCTCTCCAGCCCATGAATTTTTCCTCTTAACACTGCTTTCATTGTGTCCCATAAGTTTGGGTATGTTGTGCCTTCATTTTCATTGAATTCTAGAAAGTCTTTAATTTCTTTCTTTATTTCTTCCCTGAACCAGTTGTAGCCGTTTGTGTTCTCATGCTAATTGTGTTACCTGAAAAAACCTGTATACAATGTCCTGCACATAGGCTAAAGGAAGCCCGCCCCCCAGTTGGTTCTGATTGGGAAATAAAATTGCCAATGGCCAATGTGTGGGTAGGGTGAAAGAGGCGGGGCTTTTAGGATTCCCCAGCAAGACGTGCAGGGGAGAGGAAGAAGGAATTCTGTGATGAGAGGGGCGGAGGACTGACCACACCATGAAGGAGCAGGAGGGAGAGATGCCTGAAATGTAGGTACAAATGGAAAGCGGCCCCATGGGAGGACTGCACAGAAGGAAACAAGGCAGCAAAGATAAAATATAAATTTAGAAAGAGTTAACTGAGGACTACCTGAGGGAAGAATGTGCTAGCCAAGGGGAGGTTCAGGAGGTGCCCAGCCGTGGAGGTAGTAAGGCATGTTAAAAATAATGCTGAGTGTGTGTATCTTTCATTCGTAAAACCAGAGAACTCTGGGCTGGTGGCTAGAAGCTCGATCACCTGCTGGGAGCTCAATTCGGTGTGCCCACTGGTCATTCAGTTTTTCAGTTTTCATGAGTTTGCAGGCTTTCTTTTGTTTCTCTTGTTGTTGAAGTCTAGCTTTAATCCATGGTGGTCTGATAAGATACAAGGTGTTATTTCAATTTTGTTGTATCTGTTGAGGCTTACTTTGTGGCTGAGTATATGGTCAATTTTGGAGAAGGTTTCATGAGGTGCTGAGAAGATGGCATATTCTTTTGTGTTTGGATGAAATATTCTATAGATATCTGTTAAGTCCATTTGATTCATAACCTTAGCTTCATTATTTCTCTGTTTAGTTTGTCTTGATGACCTGTGCATTAGTGAGAGTTGGGTGTTGAAGTCTTCCACTATTAATGTGTGGGGTTTGATGTGTGATTTAAGCTTTAGTAGTGTTGTTTAGTAGTGAGTGCCCTTGCATTTGGGGCATAGATATTCAGAATTGAGATGTCATCTTGGTGGATTTTTCCTTAGATGAGTATTTTTCCTTCCCAGTCTCTTTTGATTACTTTTGGCTGAAAGTTTATTTTATTAGACATTAGAATGCCTCCTTGGGGAGGCAGATAAGTCTGTGGGCCTGACAATGGAGTTTGGGGAATAGCCTCCTGCTACTTCTGCTGGTTGTACCCCAGGGGAACCTGGCAGGCAGGGCATTGGTGGAGACAGGTTTAACCTGGATGTTCTGGGGACCTGGCAGGCTTCTTTGGGAAGGCAGGTAGAGCCATAGGCCAGAAGATGGAGCCTCTGGGAACTTTTGAAAGGGTGTAAATGCCAGAGCCCCAACATGGGGTAGATGTGTTCCAGGTCGGCTGCTGCTGTTTCCTGTTGCTGTGGTTTGTCAAGTGGTTGTGAGCAAAGAGACAAGAAGAAGATATTGGATATCCTAATGATGAAGATTGGACTGACCCCAAGAAACTCAATGCCACTAATCAGCAGGGAATAACCTAAAGAGGTCTAAGTCCCCTTTACCCTCTAACCTTCTCTCTCCAACCTAGTGCTGGGGGTATCAGAAAGAATTAGGGTGAAATAAGTGTTGGAAGGATGGTAGGTATAAGAACCCAATAAAATAGTCAGAAAATACTGCCTGTATGTGTGTGCATGTGCATGTGTGTGTGTCTTCTTCACCTGCCCATGGTTCTTCCAGCTCCTGCAGTGTCTGTGACAATGGCTAAACTGTCCCAGCCCCACCCAGGACTGGAAGACTTGGCCACTGACTCTCCACCACTCTGCCCCTACTGACCAGGTGGCCCATATTGGTCTCAAAAGCCCATTCATCTTTAAGGTCTGTGCACTGGGATATGGCCAGTGATCAAGAGGACATTACGATTCTGTACATATACACACCAAGCTAAGGTACATCCAATTGTATAAAACAAATGCCACTAGATGTAAAGGTACAGATTAAACCCAACACAGTGACAGTGGGAAATTTCACTAATAAACTTTCACCAATAGGCAGGCCATTTATATAAAAATGAATAGAGAAATATTGGCATTAAGTGACATTTTGTATCAGAGGAACCCAACATGTGTACAGAACATTCATCCAAATACTAAAGAATATATAATCTTTCCAGCAGCTCATGGAATCACCTCTAAAACACACTACATACTAGGCACAAAGCAAGCCTCAACAAATATAGGAATATTGAAATAATAGTCCATATCTTATCAGACCATTATAGGAACCTTTAATCCACTAAACTGAACAATCTAAAAGACATGGACACATTTCTAGACATACATGATTTACAAAATGAAATAAATAATTTAAAAAGACCAAGAGTTAGGGATGAGATTGAAGAGATAGTAAAATATCTTCTTAGTAAAGAAAGACTGGGTCCAGATGGCTTCATGCAGAATTCTACTCAACAGCCACAGAGTTAACACTGACTCTAACCAAACTGTTCCATTAAAGAAATGAAGGAAGGCTTCCTAACTCTTCATTTGAAACCAGTATTGCCCAGATTCCTAAACCAGAACAAGACACAGGAGCAACAATAACAAAACTATAGACCAGCTCCGTGATGACCGTAGATGCAAATGATCAGTCAAACAGAATTCAAGATCATGCTAAAAAACACTGTGTGGTGGTCGGCCTTTCCCCGGCTTCGTGAGGCTCGTAGGGGTTTCTGTAGGGCTTTCCTTCAGCAGGAGATCTCTTTAGTTTTTCTTTGTCCCTGTGCGATTCCATTTTCATGCGCTGCGTGGCGCGGTACTCCTTACTTCCTTCCCCTAGCCATTTGCGTGCATTTTCTTGGACTTCAGTCATTTGCCCTGTCCTCTTCGAGAGCATTCACGCTCTTACTTTCTTCCCCCTTTCTATGCTTTGAACACATTGACCGTGTTTAGAATTGTCCTTTTGAATTCTGCATCTATTTCGTGTGAGTTGCTCTCTTTAGGGGACATTGCCGTGGAGCTGGTGATTTGGGGAGACTTCTGTCTGAGGTCATGACAGCCACCACTGTGTTTTTGGCAGCCAGCATTTGCTGAAGCACTACAATTTTTCCCCCTTTTACAGGCGGATAACGTAGCTCCCAGACACAATAAGAATGTAATACCTTAAATTCCCACCAGGTGGTGCTCCAAGACTTCCAAGAGCAGGTTACAGTTGTTGAAAAGGATAGAGAGCTTGTGTGTGCCTTAGTGTGAAGGAGGAAGGAGGGTGGGACAGAAATATATATATGTATATGCATTATATATATGTGTGTATGTATATATATTTTAAAATTTGAAAATGGATTTTTTCATACAATATATTCTGATTATTGTTTCCTCTCTCCAGCTCCTCTCTGATCCTTGCTACCTGTCTGCCTCCCTGACTCCATATCTTGTCTTTTTCTCATTAGAAAGCAAACAGGCTCACTTACCCAGCAGGGGAAATACCGTGATCATGAAGATGGTTTTCCCAGGGCAAGATTTATTCATTACGCTCTGGATGTGCCAAACCCTGTCATTTTTCCCAAATTCAGAAAATTCGACTGCATAATTTGTGGTAGTGGGGGACTGCGCTCACACTCTGTCTTGAAGAAAATCAAAAAGCAAAGGAAAACAAACAGGCAACTAAAAACTAATTCTCGTAGAATAAAAACAAACCAACCAGGGTAGGACAAAAGAAGCGGAAGAAAAAAAAAAAAAGAGTCAAAGGGAAAGCCTAAGAAACGCACAGCTGCAGAGCCACACACAGAGATTCCACATACACACTGCAAATCATAACACTAAACCAAAAGACTTGGAAGGTTAAAGAAAAAAGGAAGCCCAGACTAAGCACCACGAGACAAAAGCTTCTAAAAACACCTTTGAGCTTGCTTTGTGTTGATTACTGGTCGGCGTGGGGCCTGCTCTTAAATACGGTTTGTGTATCCAGTGAGACTTCGTTGGAGAAAACTAATTTTTCCTTTGAGAGTTCTTCTCAACTGAAGATAGATTCTGGGTCAGGTTTGAGGTCTTCTGTCCCCTTCCCCTCTCAGCTATGGGACCCATCTGACTTAGACCTGTGTAGGCCTATGCATGGCACCAGTCTCTGAGTTCACATGTGTGTCGGTCCTGCTGTGTCTAGAAGGCCTTGTTCTCCTGGTGTCCTCCATCCCTTCTGGCTCATACAGTTTTTCCACCTCCTCTTCTGCAGGGTCCCCAAGCCCCGAAGGAAGAGATCGATGGAGATATTCTGTTTAGGACTGTGTTCCAAGGCCTCTCACTGTCTGCACATTGTCCAGTTGCGGGACTCCATATTTGTTCTTCTCTGCTGCAGAAGGAAGCTTCTCTGATGATGGCTGAGCAACGCACAGATCCATGGGTAAAGCAGAATATCATTAGGAGTCATTGTATTGCTACACTCCTTCAGCAGAACAGCAGTATTTGGTTTTCCTTTAGGCCCGTGGCCTATCCAGTCTCAGGTTCTTTGGGCAAGGGTTCTATCTCATGGACTGAACCTTAAATCTGACCAGATAGTGATGCTTACTCCCACAGCGTTTGTGCTTCTGTTACACCTTGTTACATTGTACTTGTACCTTGTAGGCAGGTCACCATTGTAGATGGAAGGGTTTGTAGTGGAGTAGGTGTTTACCTTCCTCCTCTGGTACCTTCCTGAATGTGAACACTAGTCAGCGGGGGGGAAGGCTTTATCTAGGAACCAGTTTGACTTCTCCATGTCCAGTGAGTTATGCAGGTGGTGTCTTCAACAATAGACCCTTACCATCAATTTGTGGAGAGCAGCTAATAGCTTTGGCAATAGCCAGCATTATTTGAGGGTTTCCATGTTAGGCCAACAACTTGATTAGATGCAATCATTTCTGGCACTGGAGGTTTTATTTGTTGGCTGTATATGTATTATATATATTTTATGTATGGCTGACCCACTCTGTGGTGACTGGCATTAGAAATGCTTGATATTTGTTGTATATCTCAGCTCTTCTATGACACAACTTTTCTGTGTCATAGAAAGTTCCACACAAAGTCCAACTATGAATGCATAATGAATTGGGGTTTATCTGAGTCCCCAAAGTCAGCTTGGAGTCAAGCTTCTTTCTCTATTGTCTTTCTGGCCTTTGACATCTGCCATGTTAAATCTCAGAATTATTTTGCTCTCTTTCCAGTCTTTTCATGTGTCCCTGGTTGGTTTCTGATTCCTTTCCCAACAAGACCTTTTATACGCCCCCCCCCCCCCCACCCCCACTACCCCCACCACCACCACACATCTGACCATTCATCTTCACAGTCAGCTTGACTGGTCTTGGAATCTCCCAGGAGAAAGGCCCCTGAGTGTGTCTGTGAGGATATTTCCAGGGAGTGCTAACTAAGGAAGGAAAATGGACCCTGGACATGGGTGTTACCACCCCATGGATTGGAATCTTGAGTTAAATAAAAGAGAGGAAAGGAAAAAGCTGTGTGGGTGCCAGTTTCCCTACTCTCTTTCTTTCTGATCTATGAGGGTGTGAGCAAGCAGCTGTTCACAGACAGCCAGAAGCTCTCCCCATCATGGTGGACAGTATGCTCCAAAACTGAGCCAAAATGCTTCCTTCTACCCTGATCTTGCTTGTTGTCGGGCATGCTGTCACAGCCATGAGCAGAGTGCCAAGACTTCTCCCTTTCAGGAGGCAACCTGACACCACATCACAGATAAGGTCCAGGTGTCTTGTGGCTTCTCATCTTTCTGACTCCACACCCCTTAGCTGCCTGTTCCCACCCACCCTCTCCTGCTCCTCACCTGCGATGCTGGAAAGCATGTTTGGATTTCAGTCGCCATGATTCCTAGTCATCCGTAGTCTTCCATTCACTTGTCATTTACTCAGAGGGATTTAGAGTGGGAGAGAGGAGCAGCAGGCTGGAGTCGGAGCCCTAAGTGGACTGAAGCGTCTGCATTAGTACCTTGTGGCTGACCATGGAGGTGGGCGCACCTGCTGATGCTGGGCTCTTATGAGCATCTGACCTGGGAGCCAGAGCATCCAAAAGACAAGGGGGTCTGGTGTGACCATGAGCTACAGAACAGCTGCTCCCTCACTGTGGCCCACTTCAACCAGAAGCGCTGAATTGCTTCAACAGGGTAGGTACAGTGGTGCACACCTTCGGTGCCAGATCGGAGGATGGAGAACTCAACGTCAGCCTGGGTCGCATAGACCTTTCCTCAAAAACAAACAAACAAACAAACAAACAAACCACTTGCACACTGCCCAGGCACTGTGCAATGCATCATAGGAGCTCTTCAAAAAATTAAAAAATATAATTACTGCATGACCTTGCAATTTCACTTCTGGCTATGTACCCCAGAAAATTAAAAGCACAGGGTCTCAAAGACATGCTAGGACATGTCTTCACTGACGCTGTGTTCACAGAGGCCCCAAGACAGAAGCCATCCTCGTGTCACTAGTGCTCAGTGTGCCTTGGAGCACATTGACTTGAGCTAAGACTAACTGTGTCCACACGCCACACCCGTAAGGGACCGAGTGACCCGGAAACAGTGGCAGGAGGGGAGAGTAGACTTGAAATCAGTGAGGAATGAAGGATACGGAACCCATCTCGTCCCGGGCAAGAGGAGACTGGGGCTGGAGGAGCATGTGGGGAAGAGAGGGGCTCTAGCTCTAGCTAGGTCAGCAATGCCAGCCAGCAAAGGGGCCAAGGAAGGGCTCAGAAGAAGGAGAGAATAGCTGCTGGGTAAACCTCGGGCTGAGAGGACTGGGGCCCTGGCAACAGTGTGAAGACTGTTAAGGCAGCTGGGTGCAGGGAGAGCCAGACTGAGCAGGGGATCTTGGAGAGCCCTGGGTATCCCGAGGGGTCATGGAAGAGTGACACACTCCTCACAGGACCGCTCTGGTGTCCTGTTGTGTTTTGGCTGTGGCAGTGAAAGGCTGAGAGCTGAGGTAGGGGTGGGGGATGGGGAGTGGGGGTATGAGGTAGGGGTGGGGGATGGGGAGTGGGGGTATGAGGTTGGGGTGGGGGCTGGGGGCTGGGATGGGGTGGGGGCAGTGAAGCAGCAGTGACAGAACAGTTGGAGGTACTCTGGGCACAGAGGTGGTAAGAATTCCTGGTGGGTTGGATGAGTGTGAGGGAAAGGGAGTCTAAAGTGGCTCCAGGTTGTGGGCCGAGCATGGGAAAGGTAGAGTTAGTACTTGCAGGGCTGGGGAGACCAGAGAACAGTAGTCTAATTTCTCTTCCTCCTTTCCCCTCTCCTCCTCTTCCTTATCCCCCCTCCATCCCACTCTCACTTCTCCTCCCTCCCTCCTCTCCTCTCTACAGTCTCTCTTTCCCTTCCTTGCTCCTCTTCCCCCACTCTTCTCCCTCTCCCCTTTCTTCTTCCCACTTCCCTCCTCCCTTCTTTCTCTCTCCTTCCCTAACCTTTCTTCCTCCTCCTCTTCCTCCTCCTTGAAAGGCTCAGTCCCATTGGCCCTTGGAAGTGGCATCACACAGGAACCTTCTGCCTGCCTCTTCAGAGATACCAGGCCCTGAAGGAGAGGGCAAGTTCCTTCTGCCTATCCTGCTGGTGATGTATGTGTGGCCTTAGTAACAGCAACCCCCCACCCCAGAAGTTCTTTATTCACCTGTAAAATGGGTGCAGTAATTTTTACCTACCTCAGAGGTTGGAAGGTATAATTACTGGTTAGAGCAGTGTGAAGGCAGATGAAAGCCCCAGGTAGGCACAGGCCATCATTAGCATGAGGGTGGTTCCCTTTGAACAGCCTGGAGACTGTCCTTTTGACTGAGGTCACTTAATTGTCTCTCAGCTCCTTAGGCAGACAAGAATATTACAGCCTCCAGGCTGGCCACAAAGTCTTTAAACTTTGGCCACCTAAAAGTGACTGTAATGTCTCAATCACTGGCTTTTGATCACCCCGCCCACAATGAGCTAGCCAGAAAAGTCAGTTTTTCATACTACAAACAACTGTTAAATCTAAACCCTTTCAACAGGTGTGAAGAGGAGAAAATCCATCTTCATTTCTTTTCCCAGTTGGCAATGAAAACCCAGACATTTATGGGCCAGCGAGGATATACCACAGGGCATAATGGGGGCGGGGTAGAGGCTGTTGGGCCTTGGGGCTCCTGTTCCTGAGACAGTACTTACTTCAAGGTTCCCACTCTGATGTCCTGCCCTTCTGTAAAGCTTGTTCCAGGCAGATCTCCCCCTCATATCCACCCACACACAGGCTATAGTCCAGCTACCTGATTCCCACTCTCAATCCCTCCAGCCCCCCACTGCTCACACACACACACACACACACACACACACACACACACACACGTACAGGCTGTGGTCCAGCCACCTGTTCTTCCCTTGGGTGTCCTAGCATGTATATGATCATCCCCACCCACTTCCTGAGAATGCTGCACACCACTCTGCTCCCCAGAACAACCCTCCCTTACGGCGTTGTGAGTGATTAATAGAGACAGCGTGGGGAGTAGCAGTGACTGGCAGATAGCTACTCTTCAGCACATTCTCAGTTCTCCTCCTCTGAGGACCTGAGGACCTTTGCAAAGCAGCTGGTCAGATCATGGTGGCCTGAGCCGCTCTTGCCTCTCCTTGGGAGGGATGAGAC